CTAATTCTAATTCTTTCTAATTATTATAGAAATAATTTCTAATAGTTTTCTAGTTATTATAGAAATAATTTCAATTAATTTTCTAATTATTATAGAAATAATTTCTAATATTTTTCTAATTACTATAGAAATAATTTCTAATAATTTTCTGTTTATTCTAGAAACAATTTCTAAAGCATGGCAGTGTTTGAGAGTGGCACTAAACATAAGATGTCACTTCTAGCGGCTCTGAAAGAAGAGTCAAAGTCACAGCAGAGTGACTTTGTAGAGGTTTATGTAGGTTTGAAAAAATGTAAAAATAATTTCTAATTCTAATTATTTCTAATCATTATAGAAACAATTTCCTAATTACTTCCTAATTATTATAGAAGTAATTTCTGACAATTTTCTAATTATTATAGAAATAATTTCTAATATTTTTCCGAGTTATTATAGGAATAGTTTCTAACAATTTTCTAATTATTATAGGAATAATTTCTAATATTTTCCTATTTATTATAGAAATAATTTCTAATCATTTTCTTAACTATTATAGAAATAATTTCTAATAATTTCTAAAGCATGGCAGTGTTTGAGTGGCACTAAACATAAGAAGTCACTTTTAGAGGCTCTGAAAGAAGAGTTAAAGTCGCAGCAGTGGGGAGTGTTGAACAGCCCAGACACTCCCCAGTCCTTGGAGCAGCAGGATCTCTCTCTGCACATAAATAACACCATAAATAAGAGGAGATTACACCTGGAAATGGAAGGAGGGCTTGGGTGACAGATTTGTGGGCTTCACAATGCCACCAGCAGGAAGCAGCAATATCAGAGCAGGGGCTGCAGTGTGGGAGGGCTCAGGACAGATGAGAGATGGAATTGAAATCAGAAAAATCCCTCACTGTTAAGGCATTTCTCATGGCTCATCACTGCAAAAGGCAATTTTCTTTTAAGGGATAAAGGTAGAGCAAGGAGTGACTCACAGGACTGAGCACAATGGGAGGATGGTTTGAAATCAGTGGAATTCTCTTTGATTCAAGCACTCAGTTATATTTGATCTGCTTATTATACCAGCACTGAAGCACCAAACCAGATTAAAGGCAGTTAATTGAGCATGGAAAAAACACTGAATTTGCTGAATCATAAAATTCTCACTGTAAAAGAGCATTCTGATGTAAACTGGATTTCCTACTCCAGATGTAAAATTTAATTATATTGTTTCATTATGCATGCTATTGGGACGGACTTACAACACATGACCAAAACCCACAATGGGTAGAAACACTTCTTATTTTGGGAACTAGGGCACAGACACTCCTAAAAGAAGCAAGTCCCTCTTTTTATTACCTTATAATAATAAATTACTTAATTATTTAATAAAATAATTACATCATAAAAAATAAAAATAAAATAAATAATAAAATAATAATAATAAAATAAATAATTTTATTACTTTATAATAAAAATTACTCAATAATTAGGTAATTATTTTATTCAATATAAAAATAAATTAAAACAATATAAATAAAACTATAAATAATAAAATAAATAATAAATAAAATAATAAAATAAGTAATAAAATAAACAATAAAATAATAAATTAATTTTATTACTTTATAATTAAAATTACTTAATAATTAATTATTTTATTAAATATTTACCTAATAAATAATAAAATAAATCATAAAATAATAATATTTAAATAAATAATTTTATTACTTTATAATAATAAATTACTTAATAATTAGGTAATTATTATTAACCAATTCCTGTTGGAGAATCAGAGCAAGAATTTCAAAAGGCAACAAAGACATGACATCCCTTATTGCCCCCTGAAAAAAAGGAAAGTGACACTCTAACTGCAAATCTTTTACATGCTCTTAGAAGCTCAAGTAATTAATGAGACCACTGGGAAACAGGGCTGTGTTAAGACTTATATTTTGGAATCTGGCCAAAATCAACTGTTTAAAATAATCATCGTCAACTTAATTGAGGAAAAGATGCTCATGAAGCAGAGTGAGAAGCCTTCAGACATAAGGGGGTGTCTGAGATTCCCACAGCAGCTACTGAGCTGTGTCTCATCAGCAGAAATTCCAGGAAAGGGTGGGAATGCAATTGTAACACTACCTGGGTGTAAAAATGTGTGAACAGACTTTTATAGCACACGTGGTGTAAGTCAGGATTTCAGCAAAAAGTCCAAAAGGCTGAGGATACCTTTTATATTTTATCTTTGTCTAGAAAAAGAAATAAATCTGGGGCTGGAGCTGGATAATCTTGAAGGTTCCTTCCAAGCCAAACCATTCTGTGATTCTCTGAAGTTATTTAATGATAGTTATTACAGCTCTCCCAGAAAGGCTTTTCTGTGCCCAGGAATTTCTGGGCTTCTTTCACAACTGATTAAGGAGTTTATGGAAACATCCCCCTGCCCTGCACATGAACCAAAACAGCAGGAATAGGAAAACCTGGATGCTGTTTCCTGCTTCCAAGGGGAAAGCAGCATGCTTATCACCCAGCATCCTGCATCCCAGGGAAAAAAGGCCTCAGGGTATCAGAGAGGGCACTTGCAACAGCCCAAAAATTCCACCAGCTTGGCCTTTATGCCCTGAGTCAGCTCAGGCAGGACCTTTTCTGGCTGTGGATTGATGTGTTTCTACAAAATTATAGTGTCTTCAGGTTTTTCACTGGTGAAATGAGGATATTTGTATTTGGATGAACATGAAGACCAAATTAATTTCTCTCAGGGCTCCTGTAGTCTGTGTCATTTTGCTGTGGTGAGCTGTGGTGTAACACAGCCAAAACACACCCAGAGGCACAGAAAGGCCACAGCTCATGTTTTCACTCAGCAGCATCCACTGGGTTTGTGGTCTGAGCTGGAGGAATGGGAAGCACCAAGACACACTGCGCTCATGGAACAGAGATTGCATGAGAAGAGCAAATAATTCTTATTTGTCCTGAAAATCCACATTTAAGAGAGACAGTCTAATTTGCCTTTGCTAGAACTGGAGCAGACATCAAAAAACAAGGGACACTGGTTTTCTCGCCACGTTTGGGGCAGTGCTCCAGGTGCTGAGGGCATCCTCTCAGTGGGAGAATTCCCTTTTATTGCTGCTCCAGAGCCTGCCTGGGCTGAGCACACAAACCCAGCAGCTGCCAGGGTAAGACCAGGAGTTGTGCTCTTGGGAAGATGGAAGTTTGCACCCTCAGCAGCAGCATTTAAAAGCAGAAATTGGGGTGTTTTTTTTAATCTCTGAGATGGAAACAAGAATCACCCAATGGTATTTCCAGTATATATTTCTAGTGTAACTTGAATATTTGAGATGAATTTTTGCCTTGAAGACCACAATCAGAAAAGGAGAATTTTAGCTAAGAACCTACATGGCCTTTGTGTCTCAAAGGGCAGAAGACACACCACGGACATAAAAGACACACCAAGGACCCAAAAGACAAACCAAGGATCCAAAAGACAAACCAAGGATCCAGAAGACACATCAAGGATCCAGAAGACACACCAAGGACCCAAAAGACACACCAAGGACCCAAAAGAAAAACCAAGGACCCAAAAGAAAAACCAAGGATCCAAAAGACACACCAAGGATCCAGAAGACACATCAAGGATCCATAAGACAAACCAAGGACACAAAAGACAAACCAAGGACACAAATAACACGCCAGGGATCCAAAAGACAAACCAAGGACCCAAAACACAAACCATGGACCCAAACAACACACCAAGGACCTGCAGCCCCTGGAAGTGGCTCTGCCAGGGCCCATTCCCTGGAGTTCTGCTTGGAGCACCAGGGAAGGAGCCCCACTCCTGCCTTGGGCTCCCACAAGTGGGGGTTTTGCCTCTGGACCCTCCACATTTTCCACAGGCAATTAAATAATGGTGAGTGAGCTGTGGGACATGATGTTGAATTCTCAGTGGCTGGGGAAAGTAACACAGGAGCTGCAGGCAGGAGCATTAATCTCCTCCAGATCCTCTGAGCTGCCAAGGATGGCAACTCACTGCTCACAGTGCTAATGCTGCTCCTCCATCACTCCTGGGCACGCTGCAGCAGGCAGAGCCGTGGCAGTAAATGTACACATTTATATGCATTCAGCCACAGATTATGACATTGTTCACAGGGAGCCTGTGGATGAGCCAGGAATGTAAAACAATAGCCAGGATGATGTAGGTGTTGGTGGGAAGAGCACCTTATAAAATGGCATGGGGGTGAAGTGCCCAGCAAAAGTCACAGCTGGGATTTATTCATAAATGCACATCTGTGAAATCCCAGCCTGTTGGAGCATGTTTGAGTCCTGGGAAAGAGGCAGCTTTTTCCCAGACCTCCTGCCCAGGGTCAGGAGAGCAACACTTCCTGAACTACTGAGGGAATGCACGCAGGTGTCTTTAATTCATGTACAAAGAGGAAAAATTTTCATGCTCGGAGCGAAAGAAAAATGCCCACATGTAATTTTTATGCAGATGAAAGAGTGTTTTAGCATATTCCCTCCCACACAATCCATCCCAGCTCTCCTTGGCAAAGCCAGCCTTCCCCTCTGTACGAACAAGCCCTTGCTCACTTCCAAAATGCTCTTTTGATGCCCACACAAAGGTATCCTCCAGGCTTCCAGCCAGCTCCTGTTCCTTGTGCTTCATCCCTGCTCCTCGCCAGCAATCCCAACCTCTGCACCATCCCTACTCCCTCCTGGCTGGATGAACAAGCTGCCCTCTCCAACCCATCCCAAAGCACTTCAGGAAGCTGTGGGAGAAGCAGCTCCCAAGCCTAAGAGGAACAGCTCAGGTTTTCAGCAGACACCCCAAAAATAAGCATTCATTTCCATTACATATTTTCTTTTTTTTTTTTTTTTTACATTATTATGGAGAACTCTTGAACTGTTCCAAGAAGAATAGTCAGGGAAAAGATTTATTCAACTTCAAAGAGAACTGGGAGAGTTCAGCATGTGCAAAGCAGGCTAAATATGTAAATATGTCATGGCATAGGCTAAAGTGCAGCAAATGTTTTGATGAGAAAGGTTCTTACCGTATGAAAACCAGCTTGACCTTGGATGGGGCAGTTTTAATGATTGCAGAAGCATTCTGGTGGCTTCTTCCGTACAATATCTGATTGTTTATCTGTTAAAAGAAAATTATTTTCATGTAAGTGGAGGAGTACACCTTGTTCTAATTTATACCACCGAGACTTCCAAGTTTACTGTGGGATAAGGAGATAAGACTCAAAGAAAATGTGGTCTCCAAATCTTGATCTATATAAAACAGGAACCAATGCAGAGCTAATTTACTGTTATTAGTAAACCACAAATGAGAGTTGGGTTTTTTTCCACAGATCCCTTGAATGGGTTTCAAGGATTATTCCCAGATTTTTGGAAAGCAACTTGATCTGAGGAGAATCATACAGATGTGACAACAGCACAGATGTTTAGATGTTGAGACTTTGCCTGCAGGCTCTGGCCATTGAGGAGAACTGGCTGCTAACACTGTGCTGACTCCTCAGCTCTGCTGAAGGAGGAGGAGTGGGAGTCAGGGGGATGAAGGACAATTCAAGGACGTGATGCTGCATCCCTTTTGCTGGGATGGATCCACACCTGAGCACAGCAGCAGCACCAAGCCCTGCTCTGGGCACAGGGAAATGGGAAATGCAGGGGAAACAGCCTGGCCAGGACTTTCCCCAGATGGGCAGCAGGGCCAGGGCACCTGTCCTGGTCACCAGTGCTGTGGCCACAGCAGCAGGGCAGTGACAACCCCTGTGACCAAACTCCAGCCCTGGGGGCACTGCTGGGGTCCCCAGGCACAGAAAGAAAGACATGGAGGGGATGGAGCAGGTCCAGGGCAGGGAATGGAGCTGGGCAGGGGCTGCAGAATCCCTGAGGAAGCTGGAAGGGGCTGCAGAATCCCTGAGGAGCTGG